TCGCTTCCGAGTAGGAACCAGCCTCGCACGGCAGTGACACTGACGCGCCTCTGGGGCAGAAATGGCCCGGCAAACAGGGCTTGCATTCGGTGGTGCCAGATAAATTCTGGTAGCTTCCGCCCTCGCAGGGCACGCACTCGGAGAGGCCGGTAGTCGCGGCGATGGTGCCCGGCGAACAAAGCCGCGGCGTCCCGTCCCCGCACGCACACGACGAGCCGGAAGGGCAGGTGCGGCAGTCGGGATCAGCGGTGTCGTTAGTGATTGCGTAGAATCCTGCGTCGCACGTGCCGGGCGGCGCGAGCTGGGACAACCCGGCGCCAAAGGAAAGCAGCAGCATGCACGCCGACATTGCCTAATGAAAGTCACCGCGAAAGAAATCGCTCCTCGCTATGCGGGGTTGTCTGTTTTATTTCTTCATTTCTTTCTTTGAAAAAAACCGGCACTTTCTTTCTGCTGTGCCCGCCGCAAACCATTCTTCCGTATCACACGCGAATACCACGTCTTCGTGTGCACCGACATATGGCCCTCGCCGCGGACCACCTGGTGTGCCCCGCCTGCCTCGACGTGTGCGACGGCCACATCCACCAGTGCCCGCAAGGCCACCTCATCTGCTCGGAATGCGACCGCAGCCTGGCCAGCCGCACCTGCCCGACCTGCCGAGGCGCACTCCCTTCGGCGGAGGCGCCGGAGCGGAATCGTTTCGCCGAACGGATGATCGCCGCGCTACCCTACGTGTGCGAGCACTGCGGCGCCGCGACCACGCGCGGAGAGAGGACCGCGCACGAAGTGGAGTGCCCTGGCAGGCCGCGTGTGTGCGCGGTGAGGGCATATAGCGCTAGCCATTGCCCATTGTCGTCGAGAAGCCTCGCTAGGACCCGACCCAACCACTGGCACCACTGCTCCTTCCCTCTCTCGCAGGCAGCGTGGGCTGGCTGCGGGTGGACTGGGTTGAGGGCAGGGCAGCCGGAGCACGAGGCAGCGTGCGTGTATGTGAGCGAGGTGGCCCCGCTCAAGGCGCGGCTCGCAGACCTCGAGCCGCGCGCACAGCATCTGCAGGCGCGCGGTGATGCCGCGGTGATGCCCGACCGAACGTTGTACCCCAACGATAGTAATCTGTGGATCGCCCTGGCCCCGACCAGGTGCAGAACGAGGAGCTGCAGGCGCGCGTTGAGGCGCTGGCGTCGATCCCGGGCCGCAAGCAGCCCCAGCCGCCTCGGCCGCTGCAGAGCCGGCCAAGAGACGCCGCGACCGCCTCCGCTGCAGGCGTGGAGGCGGGTCCGCCGCGTCGGCGCACGGGCGGCCGGTGGGGTCCGAGCAGCGACCGCCGCCGGTGGTCGAGGCAGAGGCCGGCGACACATCTGACGCCAGCACCGGCGGCGGCGACCGGGGGCGCCGCCGTGGGCGGCGTGGGCGGCGCGGCCGAGCGACGAGCGCAGATCTACTCGGAAGTGGGAAGGTGAAGTGGCGGCTCGCTCCTAGATCTGGCCGGTGCGCTCGCTGCGCCTCGATGGGAGGCTGAAGGCTGTAAGGGATGGTGTCTTATTGATTGGAGTTTTATCCTGTGTGAGTGAGTATTCTTGATACCAAACCACGACGACACACACCACCCCACCAGTCGACTCGCATCGGTTGCCTCCATGAACGGCGGAGCTATTCTCGCGTCCACACCACACCTGGCTTCAACGTGGACACGCCCATAGCTGGGGACACTACTAGGTCACGCCTGGCATCAGAAGTTTTATCTCTGGGCCCCGAAACGCATCTCTAGCAGCGTCGTTACGCATGCCCCCTCCCCTCCTGGGCGCATGCGCCTCACGTCTCGCCAGAGCATAAGCTCGCCAGAGCATAAGCCCTTGGTGTGCGACGAGACGAGTTTCGCCCG